GGAAGTCTCTGGAAAAACTAGGAATCCATGGGACATTCCTCAGTATAATAAAGGCTGTATATGACAAACCTACAGTCAGCATTATACTTAATGGTGAAAAACTAAAGCCATTTCCTCAACATAGGAATGAGATAAGGATGTCCACTCTCTCCACTCCTCCTTAATTTAGTATTAGAATGCCTAGCTACAGCAATAAGACAAGATGCTAACATACAGGGGGTCCAAATAGGGAAAGATGAAGCAAAACTCTCCCTCTTTGCAGATGACATGATCTTGTATTTTAAAAATCCCAGACTTCACTCCAAAATTACTCGAGCTGATTTAAAACTTTGTCAAAGTAGCAGGTATAAAATTAACCCTCAAAAACCAGTGGCTTTTCTGTATGCCAACAATGAGAAGAGCACAGCTGAAATCAGGAAAGCAACTCCCTTTGTAATAGCCCCACAAAAAATAAAATACATGGGAATTAAATTAACTAAAGAAGTGAAGGGTCTCTATGATGAAAACTTTAAAACCTGAAAAAGGAAATCAAAGCAGAACTGAGGAAGTGGAAAAACCTCCCATGCTCCTGGATTGGAAGGATCAACATTATGAAAATGGCAATACTTCCCAAGGCTATGTACAATATTCCAATCTCATTCTTCAAGGAAATAGAAGCAGCAATCCAAAAACTCATCTAGAACAATAGCAAAAGCAATCCTTAACAGAAAGAACAGTGCTGGAGGAATATCAATACCAAATTTCAAACTCTACTACAAAGCCATAGTAATCAAAACAGCTTGGTACTGACACAAGAAGAGACCTGAGGACCAATGGAATAGAATTGAAAACTAAGAAATGAACCCAAAGACCTATTGCCTCCCAATCTTTGACAAGGGAGCTAAAAAAAATAGAATGGAAGAAAGACAGCCTCTTCAGTAAATGGTTCTGGCAAAATTGGTAATCACCTGTAGAAAACTAAAGCTAGATCCTTATATATCACCCTGCACCAGAATCAACTCCAAATGCATCAAAGACCTCGGAGTCAAAGCAGACACTCTGAAAACATTACAGGATGTAATAGGAGAAACCTGAGGACTCCTTGGCACAGGCCAAAATTTTCTTAATAGAGAC